GACTATAAATGTGACTTCTGTAAAACTGGTAATGCAGTTAGAACTTGCAAACCTGTAACTTTCTTTGAGCCTTGACAAATACTGATGCTGGGGATACAGTTGCAAATGCTTGAGTGTAATCCTGTGTTTTAAAGCCAAATAGCAATGTCTTTCAAAATTTGATTTAACTTCCAATCATGCCAAGCTTTGAGCATGGGCTTTGATTGCATTTCTTGAGTCTGTTGGACACCTTCACCTTCTTTTAGGTTTAATGGTGTACAGCTGACTTGACTGGGAAATTTGCTGGATCTGTAGGAAAGAGTGAAATGCTTATGTAGTGATACCAGCAGCTAACTGGAGAAACTTGGAACTGCTGAAATATGAAGTGGTGGATAGTGTAAAGATGCTGTAGAAATGTGGTGTGGTTGGAAGAAAATGCACACATAAAGACAAAAATAAATGAAGGTGAAGCAGGTGCTGAGAGTGTTTGTCCAATCTCTTTGAGGGATACTGAAGCAAAGTAGTCATGTGGGTTATGCTGGTGTTAAATGCAGAGGGGTATGAAACAGTTTTGTTTCCCAGCACTGGTACCCTGGCAGTTTTGTTTCCCAGTGCTGGTACCCTGACTTAATACACAAGCCTTCACCTCCGTGCATTGCAGCTGGTCTAACACACTCCCCTACCTGCAGCCGTGTAAGGCAAGCATATGTGCTGCTAGGTGCAAGGAGGTGCTGGCGTAGAAACTCTCCCTCTCCCTTGCCACCTCTTGGCCTCTGGGAAGGGGAAGTGCTGCTGCAGGAGGTCAGGAGGGTGTGGGCTGGTGGTGTTTGCTGTGGGGTGGGGCAGATGCTGCAGCACATCCACACAAGGGCAGTAGTCAGTGACCACCCCCACCTGCCCCAGAGAGGAGTTTAAGAACCCAAGAACTGGGTTGTGAAACCATGACAAGGAGGACTACCTCCAAAAGCCCTGCTGGGACCTGCCTCCCTCCTCTAGCCAAGTCCCCGTGCCACTTTCTTAGGTCTTGCAAGGCCTTAAATCCTTCTCTGCTTGGTGGGCAGGCAGGTTACTGCATAGCTGCAGAGGAGAACATTGAAAAAGTGAAGACCTATTATTGGAAGCATCATGTGCCCTTCCCAGGCATCTTGTCTCCTCTAACAAAACCACAGAGTCAATTAGGTTGGAAAAGACCTGAGGTCATCAAATCCAACCTATGACTGCACATCACCATGTCAACTAAACCATGGCACGGCTGTGTCCAGTCTTTCCTTTAACACCTCCAGGCATGGTGACTCTACCACATCCCTGAGAAGCCCGTTACAATGTCCAGTCACCCCTTCTGTAAAGAAATCTTGCTGATGTCTGACCTAAACCTCCCCTGGTGCAACTTGAGGCCATATATCCTCTTGTCCTGTCACTGGTTGCCTGGAAGAAGAGACTGACCCCCACCTGGCTACAGCCCCCTTTCAGAGAATTGCAGGGAGGGTAAGGTCACCTCTGAGCCGCCTTTTCTCCAGGCTGAACAAGCCCTGTTCCCTCAGCTGCTCCTGGGCTCTTCACCAGCTCCATCAGTCATCTCTGGGCTCACTCCAGCACCCTCAATGTTCTTCCTGAACTGGGACCCCAAAGAGGACACTAATCTCAAGGTGTGGCAGCAGCATTGCCAGGCTGATCACAGTATTGCTGATACAGGCCAGGATGCCATTGGCCTTGGACACCTGGGCACACTCTCAGACGGATGCTGGCCAGCACACGTAGGCTCTTTTCCACTGGGCCTCTTTCCAGTCACCCTGCCCCAGCCTGCACAGGGTTGTTGTGAGCCAGCCTGACACTTGGCCTTATTGAACCTCACACCTTGGGCCTTGGCCCATTGATCCAGCCTGTCCAGATCCCTCTGCAGAGCCTTCCTGCCCTCCAGCAGGTCAACACTTCCACACAGTTTGATGTCATCCGTGAATTATGCTGAGAGTACAGTTGATCTCATACAGATCATCAGTAAAGATTTTAAACAGGATTGGGCCAAATACTGATTCCTGAGGGACACCACTGGTGACCAGCCCCCAGCTGGATGTGACACCATTCACCTCCACTCTGTGACTGTGCAGCCAGTTTCTAACCCAGCAAAGAGTGCTCCTGTCCAAGCCGTGGGCTGCCAGCTTTTCCAGGAGCGTGCTGTGGGAGATGGTGTCAAAGGCTTTGCTGAACTCCAGGTAGACAACATCCACAGCCCTTCCCTCATCCTCTAGGCAGGTCACCTGGTCATGAAAGGAGATCAGGTTGGTCAGGCAGGACCTACCTTTCCCAAAAGTATGTTGGCTGGGCTCAATCCCCAGGTTTTCCTGCATGTGCTGTGTGGTCACACTCAAGATTATCTATTCCATCCCACTACACAGGCTGACAGGCCTGTAGCTCCCCAGATCCCCCTTCCATCCCTTCTTATAGAGGGGCATCACACTGGCCAACCCAGTCAACCCAGACCTCCCTGTTTATCCAGGAATGATGACAAATGATGCAGAGCAGCTTAGTGAGCTCTCCTGCCAGCTCCCTCAGTGCCCATGGGTGAATCCCATCTGGTTCCAAGGACTTGGGTCTAATGGCTCACTAAGAGGTCACTAACTACTTCCTCCTGGATTACAGGAGGTCAGTGCTGCTCCCTGTCCCGGTGTACCAGCTCAGGGTCTGGTTGCTCTAAGGATAACTGGTCTTTCTGTTGAAGACTGAGGCAAAGAAGGCATTTAGTACCTCAACCTTTTCCTTATCCTTAATGGCAATGTCCCCCACATGCATCCAATAACTAATGGAGATTCTTCTAGACCCTCCTTTTGATGTTAAAGTATTTATAAAAACACTTTATATTTCACAGTGGTGGCCAGATTGAGTTCCAGCTGAGCTTTTATCTTTCTAATTTTCTCTCTACGTGACCTACCATCATCCTTGTACTATTCTTGAGTTGTTTGCCCCTTCTTTCAAGGGTCATAACCTCTTCCCTGAGTTACAGCAGAAGCATCCTCTTCAGCCAGGACAAACAGGAAGACCAGGCTGTGGTCTTCCTCCGGCACACAGGGACAGTCTGCTTCTCCACCTTTCAAGATTTCCTCTTTAAAGCATGGCCAGTCATCCCTTTGTTATTTAGGATTGTATCCCAAGGGACTCTCTGAACCAGTTCTGAATAGGCCAAGGCGCACCCTCCAGAAACCCAAGGCAGAGGTTTTGCCGACCCTGTTTCCTTACTTACCAAGGGTTGAAAACTATCATTTCACTGTGCCCAAGACAGCCTCCAACCACATGTCCCACCAGCCCTTCTCTGTTCATAAACGGCAGGTCTACAAGGCCACTGCCCCTGATATGCTCATGTTGTAGTTTAAGAATGGTGTCCCCCAATTTAGCATTTCTACTGAAACACTCCAAACCATGTACAACTTGCTCAACTCCTCCCAGTAGGAAGTGGATGAGAATTAGAGGCACAAAAGGTAAAGATCAAGGATGGAGACAAGAACAATATGCTGGGAACAGCAATGAGGTAAGAAACGAACAGTCTCAACATCGCTGTTAATATGGTGCACAGGAGAGATGATCAATTCACAAGCAAATGCCCACCCCGTGAAACCCAATGTTACCCCGACTGGAAAAGACGCCCCTCTGCCCACCCACCCCTGTGTATGGTGTGAGGTGGTACAGGACATCATCCAGGTCTGGGTTACACCTCTCCTGGCTATGGCCAAAAATAACTGTCCTGGCCAGAACCAAGAGACAGCTCACTTGCCAGCTGTCCTTTGTGTTCCACACACTCCAGGAACCTCCTAGACTGCCGCCTCTTCCCTGCTGATGTTTTCAGCAGACATCCCATCCCACAAATTAAAGTCTCTCACAAGAACAAGGGCTAGTGATTGTGAAACACCAGCCAGCTTCTTACAGAACATTTCATTTGCCCCTTTATCCTGTCTGGGCGGTCTGTAACAGACTCCCCCTGGGATGTCTGCTTCATTGGCCTTTCGCCTACCCTTACCCACTGGCACCCAACCTTATCATCACTGCCCTTGAGCTCTGTACCGTCAAAACTCTCCCTAATGCACAGAGCCACCTCACTGCCTCTGCTTGCCCGCCTGTCCCTTCTGAAGAGCTTAGGACCATCATTGCAGCACCCCAGCCATGGGAGTCATCCCACGTTTCTGTACTGGCAAATATGTAATAGTTTTCTTATTGAAAATTTCTGTTCTGCACAGCCACAGTGGCCAAGGCTCACAAAGGAAGTCTCCAGAGACTTCCCTGGAATCTGCCATATTTACAATGGTAAATAAATGTAGAGCCACACATAATCCTTTACTTCAGAACATGTTCCTTTACTTCAGTAATTGCCACATGCGTTCCCCAACAGCTGCAAGAATGAGAATTTATAATTTAAACTTTTAAGTAAATTCATTCTACTGAAAGAAAACATCATGCAAGTGCATTTAAAAGAGCTCTATCACGGAATACTACTTCCCTCTTGCCCCAAGGACAGATCTTGACCCTTGCCTTGGTCTGTGCTTCAAAAGTTGGGAAGAAAAAAAAAAGAAAGAAAAAGATGTAGAGAATACACCTAAGGATCTATCCTGCAAAATACAGTAGATATATGTCAGAACCTCCCAAGGAAGCAGGCAGTTTTCCTTTTAAAAGACAATTCTCCTTTACGGAGTTGTGTATCCGAACCAAAGGAAAAGCTTCATCATATGGCCTCTCACCACCAGAAGTGCTGCTCTATCAGCCCTCTGCCTGCCCATGACCAGGAACTGAAAACTACACAATGGTTAGAAAATGAGCCTTCCTCCTGATGGATGCAGAAAAGCCATGGGAAGTTCACCTTGATTTCATCAGTGCATCAAGTACAATGACACAAACTTATCTTTTGACCAAGAAGATACCAATTGTTGAACTGTTGCTATATTCTACCCTCAGATCTAGCTTAAAGGCCAAAGCCTATTATTCTTTACAAAGCTTCTTGCAACTGAAAAATATAATGCTTCATAGAATTTGGCAACAGCTTGTTCATGATTAGCATTTATTTGACTTTAATACAAAATACTGTTAAAAACAAAGTAAAATTAAAAAATTGGTTAACACTACATCTTCTCATAAGTTAATTCATGGCCACATACAGTGCATGTCTTTTTATAAGTATCCTCATCAATGTTTTCTTCTGGTCCATATTCATGTTCGTGGACACTGGCTTGTTTCTTCCACAAACTACTCCTCACAGCACGGCGGAGTTCTGGTAAGAAACACAAGAAAATGTTAAGATTTTAATAAATCTTAAACGGTGTTCAATGAAACTCAAGCTAACCAGCTTCCTGAGGTCTACAGATGACAATATGCTTGCTGCCCATCTCCCACAAGGTCTGGGATAGAATCTGCTCTTGCAAGAACAAGCTCTGACTTGCCTTGCAATCCTCACCTTGTTTGCATATTTTAAAGGCCAAGAACTACACTGTCATGGGATCTCATAGGCAAAGATTTTCCATCTGGACTAAAGACGTGTTCCTTGCTGCCTTTTCACACAAAGCCATTCAAAGATATCCAAAAGGGGTCGGTGGAACGTAAAGGAAAAGTTTTTATAGAACACCTCATTTATTTTACATGACCAAGAAAGAGTCATTTTCATTCAGGTCACAGTAAGCCTCCCAAATGACTTGGCATTCTCTGAGCTTTATGCCCAATAGTATGAGTTGCCTCTGCAGCATCCGCAGTGAAATCTGCGGGTTCTCTAGAGCGCACAAGCTGGCAGCAGGGCCCAAGATATTATCCGGATGTTGCAAGTGGGTGGCAAGAATACTGAACAGCAAAATGTGGTCACATTTTGAGCCAAGCCATTCAGGCTGCAAACTTTGTCACGTTAAGGCCTGTACTTGCACTGAACTCTGGCATCTTGGCTACAGTCTGCTGCCAGACCTTCTGTACGCAAAACATCAATGGCCCAGACAGGGGTTATTTGTGCAATCCCAAGTTCTGCCTCCTTCAGACAACCCTAGTACAGCCAGCTTGAGCTTTCTGCCCTTGTAAACACCACCCCAAAGCAAAGCAGGGATGCTATAGGAGGTACAGAAGGTTCCACCCATTAAATACTCCTCTAAATAATAATTTATCAGAGAAAAAAATCTGTAGAACAATTTGTGGTAAAGACAGCAGCTAGGAGTACTGTGAACAACAGGAAAACCCATTTTCATTACAGTCGTTCCACCTGAAGGCTATCACAGAATTATAACACACTGCTACAAAAATCCGTCTTCCAATAGTCTAAAGTATCAGAAGCAATCCATGGCACATTCTGCGTCATATCCAAAAATTTGAAAAACACTATAATGAACCATTGTAATTCATTTCTGTCACATCATGTCCACAGGGTAACAGGGGAATTCAAGTTGCAAGGGACCTCAAGCCCTGCAGTGCAATACTGCCCAAAACCGTCATCTATGAGGTCACACTAGACTGCTCCAGGCTCACCCCCAGTCCTAAAAACCTCCATTTTACCACACTGAGTATTTTCTCAGTAATTTATTCAGATGCAGACACAGGTTTAAACAGAACTGTACTTCCCTACAGGTACTGAAGGATGTAATTTTAATGCTTTACCTTTAACTTTCTTGTCAAACTTCTTCTGTTTCATCTTCTCTCTGCTATCACGGCGGAGCTCCTTTGCTTCTTGCAATGCTTCTTCGCTACCCCAGACTTCAAGTGAACGCTTGATTACCTACAGGATGGACATAAATGCCTTTTTTTTTCCCTGAAACGATAAAAGTAAACTATTCTAACTTACAAATTTAATTTTTCCCTACACACACATAAACCAACCAATCTTCCTCTGCCTCCCACCTGTCTCTGCTCTTGACTGACAAAAGACTGCACCCCTTCCACAGGAAGAGTCAGCACTGCTCTTTAGTATCAGCTGGATGTAACTTAAGAAAACTTAAACCCAGCTCTAAATTTGCCCATATTTTACTAAAGCAGTATGATGCCTATGAAGTACCAAATAAGAAATGACAAGAGCACTGGGAAATCCACTTGCCTTTCCTGCTGCCTCTGCAGGCAAAGCTGTGAACACAGCTACAAAGGGCCACACACAGCTGCAGCTGCCCCACGCACTTCAGAGTAGAACTGAAGGGCCATGTGCTTTGTGACTTGTAATTGTGCAACCCACTAAAGTTCTGCTCAACGAACATCGTTAAAATGCTCTCAAAACCAGACATTTTCAAAACTTGGACTGCATCCATTTAACTATACCAAGCTATACATAACACACTTAACTTTGACAAAACCATTCAGGTACCAAGTGACAACCAAAGCTGTATGAAGGTTAAAAAAGGTCTGAAACACAGTATGTTTCTATACCTGTAGTTTTAAATAAAGTTTCATTTCACCCCATCGAGAATTATGAGGGTTTTTCTTCACAATGAATCTGAGCACTGGTTCCCTCTTGTCTAAGTCACAGTCTTTAAGCAGATACTCTTCTTTTGCTTCTGTCCTTGTTATGAGCTTATGTTTATCTTCAACATCTCTGCAACATGTAAAATAATGATGAGAAAGCTACACCCTAAAACCACAGGTTATTAACATCTAAGTCCCCATCCCTTCTAACATTCCTGAAATACAGGTAGCACTAATACCCTCAGTTTTTTATGCATTCAAATAACTTTGGATTCCAACAGCCTAGCTAAACTCCAGACTAGATTTACTGAGATTAAGTGTTTAAAAATTCCCCCCATTTCAGCACACAGACTGAGAAGTCTGCTCTTCTAGAAAGGCTTTTCTTCTATTTCCTTACAAGAGGAAATAACTGAAAATGAATATGAGTAACTTCAGGTATTCACCTAACTCAGATGCAATCCAAGAGGACAGAAGCATGAGCCTCACATGGTCAAGACAGAAAGAATGTGTAACGTGAGACAGGTCAGATCACCTGAGAATATACACACTCCATATGCTTCTAGATCTCAGAAACTGATTAGCAACACCGAGCACTTCTTTCTATAATGCAAGACAGTAGGCAGGGAAACCATAAAATAAAGGCTCTTTAAAGACTGTAGTCTTTACCAGATAATGAAAAACTCTGTAACCACAGGAGCATTTATGAGTTAATGGAAAAAATTACATTTACGCAATCCTGACTGAAGTACAACTCGAATCGCTTGAGCCAAACAATCTGCCAAACACTAAGTGCTAACAACGGCCATCAAGGAAGTACTGCTGTAAATGTAGGTTCACTAGAATTCAAAGTTCACAGTTACAGCTAATGCACCAAGGACACTCCAGCCATCAGCTACAAGAGCTTAGATCCAAGACTCCAGAGGCTCCAAGTCCTGTCTGTAACATCCTTTTTCTACCCACTCTAACTTCTGATACGGAACTTTGCCTCCAATATGACTGCGAATTGCCTACACCACGTGCACATCGCTAACCACTCCCTGCAGTAAATGGGTAGGCTCCCAGAACAAACTCCTTTTTTTTTTTTCATTCACCCAATTCATTCTTGCACACATGGGCAGCCGGCTGCTGCAGTTGTTTCATTGCCCTGGTTATCTTGATGGCTTTTGGAGCGTTTTCTGTGTTAAAAAGATAAGAGCTTGCTCTCTCCCCAAGGTCAAACTCCTGCTTACCTCGCAGGCCAACCAGTAACCTCCCATGGGGGCTCTGCCCTTTGGCTGCTGTGCTTCCAGCACGCCCATGCTGACCAAAGTACCAACTTCGCTTGAGTTAAAACACTGGGACCGCAAACACTCTCCTAATCCCTGCTCCACTTCAGAGCGGGTATTTGTGTTGCATCAGGTTTTCAAATGGCTCTAGTCTGCAGCCAGACATAAATTTTCACACTGACAAACACACCAACTGCTCTCATGACATCCCATTTCCATAATGTTGTATGAAAATCCACTGATGTCCCCTATCCTAAGGCAGGCTTATGAGACAATCTGTGATTCAATTCCATAATGGAACTTGCACAGGGTATCAGTCAAATTTAATTTACATTTTTTTTAAGCTACTGAAATATGTCTCCCTTGCTGACAATCTCTTTAAATGACTGTAACTTACTGACTTATAGCCAGCAATCTTTATGTAAAATAGTGTTTCTCTCTCCTGATTATTTGTAATACCTGCAATTATCACATGTTGCCCAATCAAAGTGCTGCATAAGGTAGGAGTCCATGAATTCTTTGCCACAGTCTCCACAGATGAGATAGTCAAATTCTAGTACGGGTGCTAATGGAAAGAAATATTTTTAAAGGGACTACAATGATAAAAACAAGCATCTAGAATTGGTATTACAGGCAATTTTACTAGAATTCACATAAGCATATTACAAACTAGTTTCACTCTATTAAAGTTTTTCAGAACAATACAGTACAAATTCAAACCCATTACCACACAATTCCATGTCTGCTGGAATGTCTTCTCGTTGCAATACCAGCGTTAAGTACTTAATTTCAACATTTAAATGAATATTTAACTTAGCCATTGTTAAAAAAAAATTCTGCACACTTCTCCCACAGAGTGCTTTAAATCCTCTCCTGCCACTTCCTCTGTTCTGACCCTCCCAAAATATGCCCTGATTTAGAGGACATGCGGGCACAAACGAGAGGAAGCAGAGAAGGGATTCACTTTGAAGAGGGTGGCTGGAGCAGGAAACTACAGGAGCTGCGCTGGCATCATAGTTCTCTCAGCTCTGCTCCAGTTTTTTCCCTAGCTCAGCCACACCTGCCTCTCCCTAAGAGCTCAGTGGAAGCCTGGGGCAGTTGGCAAGGTTCTTGTCCGTTTCAGCTGGCAGACACGGAGGTGGATGGCCAGAGAGCTGCTAGGAGTGGAATGGGGATGGAGCTCCACTACAATCCTCTCCCCAAGCCCTCTCAGCACTGCTCCAAGCCCAGACTCATCTCAGCGCCAGCCACTGCTTCTGGCCGCATCCTCAACGGGCGGATCACCTCCAGCGTCATCACCATCTGCTTTTATGTTCCACAGGACACCAAGAAACACCGATTCGGGGAATAACAGCTATAAGGAACATCCTTCAACACTAACATTGAAATTCTATCAGAAAATTAACATTTCTATACAGTTTTGAAATCTGAAAGCGAGGCAGTGCTGTGAAATTTTAGGAACACCTGAAGCTGAAGATTAATGGTTAACAAGCAGCACCATATATTTTAATTGCGTTTGCATTTATAGCAGATCCGATCCAGCAAAGACGACATTTTATGTAAATTCAGTTCTACTAGCGACAGCCGGATGCTCAGTACTTCACAGTCATTTCATACTCTTACATCACATTCCATCATTTAAGGCAGTGCTCCCGAACACGAAGACATTTTATTAAGACAATGACGTTATGAATTACACAGCAAAAAATACGCCCAGTGTAAAGGCATCCCAGATCTACTTTAATTTATTGTTAACATTAGCCCGTCAAAAGAAGCAGGGCTGCTAATTGTTTACACTGTTAATGAAATCTGGTGCTGATTTCTAACAAAGAGATACACTGCACCAACAGCCCCGCAGCTGATTCAAGCAGAACAAAGCAAGACAAAGACAATCCCAGAGAAGAAAGTCGATCTATTTTGGGACCCTTACTTCTCCATTTGCTTTTTTTGGGGGGGAGAATATCGCAAGGCAATGTGCTGAAATCCTCCACCGAACGATCAGTAACTTGGCGCCAGCACGTTTTATAACGATAAAAGCTGGCACTGCAGCAGCGCTCCGGTCTTGGCACAAACCACATAAATCCCAAAATTCCCACAACCGACGAAGCCGCGAAAATTTACCCTCACGTCGGTCTTAAAATTCAAATTCCCCGAAAGAAATAATGGAAATAACGTTTATGGGGGAGAAAAAAAAATTAAAATGTGCTATACCCAAGGGCACTGGCTGTGTCCCACTTCCGCGGCTTAAAATTCTTCATTTTTAATTACCGCGCATTTGCTATAGCCGATTTAATGCTGAAAAGAATCGGACGCGCCACTAATCGAGCACATCCAGAAAAACGTGTGAAGGAGCAAAAGGAATGGCAGCAATCAAAAAAAAAAAAAAAAAGGAAAAAAAGAAAGAAAGAGAGGGTAAGAAAGGAGTGTAAAAAAAGCCCGGGAAAAAAAAAAAGGCGCCCATCCATCCCGCCCCGCTGGCGCGGCCGGAGCCGGCTCACTGTCGCCCCCGCGCCTTCCTGCCCTCCCCCGCCAGCCCCGCGCACGCGGCGCCGCCCCCTCCCGCCGCCCCCCGCCGCCGCCGCCATCCGACCTGCGGCAGGGTAGGGCCGGGCCGCCAGCCGCGCCTGCCGCAGTGCCAGCGCCCGCTGCCGGTCCCGCTCGATCTTCGCCAGCGCCGCCGCTGAGAGGTGCGGCCGCTCGCCCGCCGCGGCCAAAACCTCCTGTTCGTGGTCTTGCTCGTGGGCCGGGGCCGCGCCCGCCATGGCGGCGGCGGGAGCGACGGAGCCCCGTGGTCCCCCCCGCTCCGGCAGCCGCTCTCGCCCTTCCCCTCGCCGAGCCGCCGCCGCACTGCGCCTGCGCAGGGCGGGGGGCGGGGGTGGCCACAGAAGGGGCGAGGCCGCCCGCGCAGGCGCGCAGCCGCCGCCCCGCCCCTCCTCGCGAGAAAAAAAAAAAAAAAAGCCATAAATCCCGCCCCGCCCGGCAGGAATTCCTCAGCAGCGTCACCCAGCAATGCCCCTTTTGTCCGCCCGGCCCGGCCCCGCCACAGCCCTGCGCGAGGCTGGTTCTCGGCCGGAAACGGCCCCGGCCACGTTTTCTGCCCTGAAAACTGCTGGAGCACTCTCCCCGCTCCCTGCTCCTGCTGTGCGCGGCCCGCCGTGGTCCCAGCCTCGCTCGGCACGGGCGATGAGCGCTTTCCTAACAAAATCCCCGTCCTGCCCTTAAAGATTTCGCGTGTTCCGTGCAAGGGAGGATAAATGGAGGCTGCAGCCTCCCTTACTGACGAGGGACGCGCAAATGGCTTTGTCATGCAAATGTGGCTCTAAGCCACTTTCATATAAAGCCACTTAATGCCGAGCAGCCAGTGATCCTCGCCCGCCCGTCAGGCAGTGCCTGCCCTGTCCTTGAAGGAACGGAAATGGAGGCACTGGCACAGAGGCGTGCTCCCTGCCTCCATGCTGAAACGGGATGACCTCAGCACAGGGAGAAGCCTTCCTTAAAAAAAAAAAGAAAAGAAAAGCTCGCTCTCTTCCGTGAAACTAAACTAGTTTCCTGCCAACCCTTCCTTGCTGCTCCCAGAATACGTCCCTTGTTCCTCTCCGTTCAAATGCCCGCGGTAATTACCTGCATGGATTGTGTTTCTCCTGTGTCCTAAAACATTTTATTTCTTTTTAGCTTGTCGTCCTCGCTTGGCATTAACTTTCGACAACAGCCAGCAGAGTGTGCTATGAACGCTGAGAAAAGAACATCCTGCTTCTGGGAAATTTATATATATATCTCCATATATATATATATATACACATATATATATATACATATGTACAGAAATGCAGATGAAGACATTTTAAGTGGTTCTAATACTTGCATGAGTGGTAGGTAGCTCCTCCCATCAATTAAAATACTTCTCTTGTCGCAGATCACAGAACCTCTTCCTTAAAAATTAATAACCAAGTCATACTAAACCGTCTGCTTTCAGCGAGATTGCTTTCCAGTCTTTGTATAAAGTTGGAAAAGTGCCACAGTGGAGATGTCCAAATACGTTTCACCGTCAGAGAGAAGGATCTAGAACACAAGGTATTTAATAGATGAAAATGCAAATCGTAACCCCAGCGTACAGGAAGCAGCTTATGCAATTATACAGTATGAGCATACGTATCTCCAACCTCATTACTCCCTTGTTTGGACTGACTTACTGACAGTGGAGTTCCAAATAGAGTAATAAACACAGTAGAAGCAAGTGAAATAAAAAAAGATAGAGGAAAAGTGTTTACTAGATGTCTTGGAAATGGAAATGTTTGCTTGAAAAGCAAACACATGTATGTTTGGATTCCTTATGCTATTCTGGTGTCTCTTCTTCCTTGTTTTGTAGGAGCAGACATTTAGGGAGGAGTGAACTGAGTTGTGCTTGTGGGGTAACAAATAGTTCTGTATCATTCATAAACCAAAACTGCCTTAAAGCAAAGCCAAGTTTGAGACCCCGTGTAAGGATTTTAAGGGCAAAAGGACATTATTGTTATGCAACCAAACTGGAATTAGGATTAAAAGGAAATCAGAATACATAAACAAAAGCAAATTCAGAGGCAAAGTGTTCAAATAAAATAGCCTGTGGGCCGCAGCTATCTGTGCAAGTGTTAATTATTAAGTAAAACTTAATAATGTTTTAGAAATATATACTAGAGATGTTTGGCTTTTTCTTTTTCTCAGGGGAAGTCTGACAGGGCAATCAAAGCAGAATATTCTCCCCAGCTCTGCTTCTGACCAGAATGAATCAAATACAATACTCCTAATTTTCATGGCCAAGAGAAAGTAATAAAACTAATTGTTTTATATTAGCAAGGAGCTACAAACTATTTCATGTGCATTGCTCTGGTCATGCAATAATATTTGTGCTTAATATTAAACACATGTGGCTTAGTGTGTGGACATGAGATAATAATTATTATGGTATCTGTGTTTTAAACAGTTTTTCAGGTTCTGTATGCCAAGTAGTATCAAGTATTCCTTGCCTGTTGGTAGCCATGTATTAGAAGGTAGGCTGTCATTAATTGTCAAGCACAGATATGCATAATTTCATTGCCACAGAGACCATCAGCAGTGAAGAGTTGAGCGCAAGGAGGCAGCTGAGCCGTGCTTCACAATTCATCACTCCCATGGAGGAAACAGTGAGCGGCAAGACAAGAATGTTTGCTGACTGTGCAAAACCTTTTTAAGTTAGCAGGGGGTGAGGGTCATCTGTAAAGAATTTTGGGTGATTAGGCAATAAAAAAGTAGATTAAATACAGAGTAGATAAATGCAAGGTGATGTTATAACTAGTCATAACTTTACATAAAAGGTAGGAATACCTGAATCAGTTGATGCCACTCAGTAGTGAGACTTAAGTGTGTATGCCCTGCATGAACGCCATCTTTATGTTTGGAAAAGCAAGGCACATTTCAAGGAAAGGGACAGAGAACAAAACCAGGAACACATTTATGGCAGTCCAGAAATCTGTCGTGAATTTGCTCAATGAGTACTGTTCCCTGTTGCGTTTCCTGCTTCTTAGAAAGAAAATGCTGGAACTAGAAAAGAATAACAAGGATGCTCAGCTGTCTGACTTTGTGTCCCTTGAAAGAGACAATTGAGGTTTGGAGTTCTCACCAAAGAGTGAGGATGCATGAGGCCCGTCACATCCTATGTAACGGGTGGATGCCAGCTGACTTTCTGAGTACAAACCATCAGATTTGCCCAAGTCTAAATAGGCAATAGGAGATGGTTCTTCGTTCGGTGCCTTTCTGAATGGCATGCTGAGTACAGGCTGTTTCTCTAGGGTGCAGAGAAGATAGGCCTAGTATTTGGAAGAGGACTGTGTTGAGAGTTAATGAATGAACACCCCCTCACGCTCAGGAAATTCCCTGAGCTGAAAGCAGTTGGTAGCTGTGGGAGTGTTGCAGAGAAGATATCATATATTTGCCTTGCTTTTCCTCTTCCTTTGACGTTTGCCTGTGGCCTGTGGTGGAAACAGGATGTTGGACTGAATGGGTTCTTCATCCGAGGCAGTACACCTCTTCCTCTGTATTCATGAGGATCACACTGAGCCACATGATAGCAATAAGCCTGTGCAATGGGGGTCTTTCCAACCAAATTCACTGTTCGTCTACACCAGGAGTTACTTACGGAGCAGCTGCTGGGCATGTATTTCTATTTTGCCTCATGATGAACTTCTTTCTCTCTGTCCTCAAAAATCTTAGTAGCAATATGCATACAGCTGCATTGCAGTTGCATACCTACAAACAAACCATCCTTTTGTCCTTCCTCAGTAGAAAATACACGTTCCATGAGAAACAGACCTAAGTCTTACTTTTTCAATGAGTTTGTCTTTTGAAGGAGCAGCTATGGACAAAAATCTCTTTACTCCTCTCCCCCCCTCTCCCACCTATCCCTCAGCCTCTGTTTGGTGGTTCATGTGGTAGCATCAATTTTAGCCACATTCGAATTCAGTAGCCAGAAGCTGGCTGGCCAATACACACAGGCTGTTGGGCTGCTGCCTCTGAGCATGACTAAGGTATTGGATTTTGTCCAGTGATTTCAAATGCTTTTTGAATGGGAGAGAACAGTTCACTTGCATCCTTAGGAATGTAGGGCAAAAAATACCATGCCATTTGTGATTTTGTTTCCATCTTTTTTAGCTTGATACACCTATTTCTTATGTTACCTTTAATAAATAAATAAAGAAATATTGTTGGCGTCTTGATGAAAAAGAAGCGCGTGACCTGTGAAAAGCAAAGTGAACTTGTTAAAACCAGATAGTGTGCCTGCATGGATTTGTATGTTTTCTTTCTGAATTCACCTATGCCATAGCTCATAGATCAGGGATACACAGGGAATCATCCTGTTGGACAGAATGGGACATGCAGAGTAAATTAGATTTGTCATCTCTCTGAGATTTTCTCCTTTGCTCACTACCTGTAGGAGAGGATTTTCATAGTAATGTGGCCTGTCTTCACGCTCCATTTATTGTACTCCCATTGATGTATGGAATCTTGGTTGAACAGATAGGTAATGGAGTAAACATATAACGTGTTGAATGCCTAAGCAACACATCTGAAACAAACAGGTAGGCAAGAATCAAAGTGCAATGTTTAGAGACAAAAATTGGCATTGTTCTCTGACAGGAGATTTTTATGCAAGTTTGTTATAATTTTGTCATTACAGGAGATGACAGAATTTGAAATTACAATGTAAATATCTTTTATTTGCTGGCATTATACAAGACTTTTCTGTTTTATTCCTGAATAGGACTTTAATATCTTTTAATATCAATAGAAAATGTTCATTTCATATCTGTGAACAGGAAAGTGTTGATGGCCACATGATGAAAAAATGTTGTTTACTGTTTCAGAGATTGCTACAAAGCTGACTGGACACTTTTGCTATTGATTGGCAATCCAGAAAGAGAAATCCTCTTCCAGTATTTCACCAGAAAAAGCCATCTTTCTCTTCAGTGCACCTAAAGAGTGGGAAACCGTAGCAAAACAGCAAACAAGTTCTGTAACTGTGGTGTGGCAGCCTTTGCTCATTTGATATCTTCAATACAAAGGACAAAAAATACTGTAGGAAAACACGTATTTTTTTCTGAAACTAAGACACTAGGATATTTTTCTTGCCCCACCGGTGGCTGGCAGAGGAGATTTTATAGAAATTGGTTTGAGGACCAGTCTGAGCTGTCCTAAAGTTGAGCTATTCAGGTTTTGGGGCCTTCTTCCCAAGCATGCAAGGAATAGTCACATATGATGTAAAAGGGATCTCTGTATTGACAGATTTATTCTCCCTCCTAGTATTTCTATATGGATAGTTATTTAATCCATGCAACAACCTTTCCTGTAGCA